CCCCTCGTCTTTCTTTCCCCACTGTGAGAGGAAGATCCATCTTCGAATGTGTGTTAAGGTCCCGCGACGCTCCAACTACTGGGAACGCCTCGGCTGCCGCTGCTCCGAGCAAACAGGGGGCGTAATTTATCGAACGGGTCCAAGGTAAATGAGAAAGTCTCGCGCCGAGGGTTCGGTTGTTCTTTGTTACGCTCGGCGAATCCAGTCCACGCGAATTGCTCGCACGTGTAAACTGTACGCTTACGCGAGAAGTGTCTGATGAACTTCACGTGTCGTTCCTTTGAAATTCCAAGCGCGACGAACGACTGTCTCGCTGAATATCGATCGAATGATTTGTACGAACGATGTTGATGGCATCGATAGTGGAAGATGTTCACACTTTTATCTACCGGAGATCGATTAATTTTCGATTAATTTAGCTTATTAATTACTTTTTCATTGTCGACTTTTACGAATGGACCCGAAAACTGTCCAAAGACAATGTAGAGTATGTGATTTTGGAAAGAATAAGAAGCAAAACGCCTTTCTTCTGTACATGTTGTAATGTTTAAAAAGGTGACTGTTACGGGCGGTATCACACTTTAAAGAAATATTTAAAAAAATTAGTTCATTTCACGAAGAATATTGTTACGTTCGTATTGTACGAATATCGGGTTACGAGTAATTATGATTGAGCTTAGTTAATTTCCATCATGAGCGGTAGATAAAGTGTTAAGAAAGGATCCGGTAAGAGTGACTGGTTCCCAAGAACAAAAGATGAAGCATTCTAGAAGTGTGACATTTTTATAGAAAAGCAACGTTTCACGAGAATATTATAGACAATGAGTGTGTGATATATCGTGCGTGTAATAATGTATTTCGACATTCGGAGAACACAAAGATCTCTCTTACGTGAACCTCAATTTCACTCCTAAATTAAAGATCATGCGTATATACTTTATCTCAGAGGAATTCTCGGCGAGTCGTAATTTTCACAAAACGTTCCCCGAATTAGCATACCAAATGGGGAACTGTTAACAAAACTTTAACAGCCTGCCAATGCACGCCTATTCGAAACGTATCGCCGCTCGGTCCCAGGAAATAAAGACGCAGGAGAATACCTCGTGGTGGTATCGTATCGCGATCGAAACGCACGAAAATAATGTATTTTACAGCGGCGCGCGTGGGTACCGGGTAGAAATATATGAACAATCCGGCGCGATGTACCTGCGCTCCCGGGGCGACTACCTGCGGCTAATTTACAGCAGAGGCACGCGGATAACTTCCGTCGTTATTCTCCGTCTGCCTCTGCTCCTTCACCTTCAAGAGTTTCTCGTAACGGAGAACGCGATTAGCTTGAAATAGCTGGCAGACGCGAGCGACTCTCTGCTCAAACGTCGTTGCGTAGGTTGATCCGGATCTGCGTAACAGCCACAAACGACGACCACTTTCTCTACTTGCTGGCCACGGGAACATTGAAAGGTACAGCGACCACCTCGGCGACCGGGGCCAGCAACTATAACGTGGATGAAGTAGCTGGCAAGCTGAACTCGCGAAACGACTCTACTTGCACTCAATTAGCAGGCTAACCGGTATAGAGAGAGCTCATATTCGACCGTCGAATCGCACCAATGAAACTGGCGAATTAAACGCTGGCGCATCGGTTTCAGGTCCCGTGAAATGGACGACGCGGAAGCTGTCAAGAGCGAAGCTGAAACCGAGAGAGACGAGTGCGAAGATGTAAGTGCTTCCACATTTCTTCTTAAGTACAGTTTTTAAATGCTTTGAAATAATTTGATCACTAATTGATCATTAACTGAGCTGAAACCGAGAGGCAGCAGTGTGAAGATATATGCAAGTGAATACGTTCTTAAATACAGTTTTTAAATGCTTCGAAATTATTTGATCATTAATTGATATTAATCAAGAGACAGAGAGAGAACTGCGAATATGTTTTTAAATACAAGTTTTAAATAATTTTGAAATAATTTACCAGCCATAAAATTCGATATTAATGGCAAATTATTAGATTCACATGATGCTCTCAGGAAGCCACAAGAGATTGCGATGGTCAGTCACATTTAATACACTGTATTGATTTTTCTAATACAATCTTTAATCAAAATTTCTTAGTTGACGATATTCATTTTATTTCACTGCAAAGTTCAAAACATTTGCAAAGCACTGACGAAACCACCGTGGAAACAATTTCGGGTTACAAAGATGACCAACGTGTTAATAGAATTCTTACTCTCTCCGTTCGTGTTGAGAGAAACGTTTCGCTGAACGTTAGATCCGGTTGCAGGAGGATGTGCCGATCACGACCACGACGAAGAACGCGTTGATAACGACGCAGCTTGGCCCCTGCGACATTTATCCGCATCGCGTCAAAGTGTCGATCGTCGGCGTGGGGAAGATTGGGATTGCTTGCGCCATCGCGATCCTGATGAGAGTTAGTATCGCGCGCTTGCGATCGCGATGCTCGATCAACCGTTTGATTCCACGTGATCTTTAGAGGATGGCCAGCGAGATCTGCCTGATCGACCACGACGCGAACAAGGCTTCTGCCGAGGCCGAGGATATTCAGCACGTCGGCGTTTTTTTGGGATGTCCATTAGTAACTGGCACGTCAGGTACTTGACAGTCTCACATATTTATGTAATATCTCAATCCCAATTGATCTTGATGAATATCTACGCTTGTGAAGATTTATAATTTGCAATTTTCTCACGAGGTCATCGACGCACATGAAATCAGAGACTTGCTTTGCTATTTCAAATGTCATTTACGCGCCTGAGAAAGAAACACAATCGACGAAAGGGATGACTAACGGTCCATGTATTTCGATCGTTCACGGTCTACTTGCTGCCAAAGAACCAGCAGTCGAAAAGCTGTCCCCTTCGCGTGGTAATTCCTTCCGCGTGTCAGCGGACGTGCCATTGATAAATCCAGCTTGCGACAGGTCGAATTCCAGAAACTCCAGGTCGAAAGATCGAGAGACCGACGAGGTCTGAGGCGAGCGTCGATCGCGATCGTCCCGCTTTTAAGAGACACGGTGCCCCGTCGCATCGGGTTGCTCGTCAAGGGATCTTCTCTGTCAACGTGCAACGGGTTAGAAAGAACGGTCACCGTCCCGAAATGGAGCGAGGGAGCGAGGGAGAGGAGGAACGAATTTTCGGGACGGCGAGCAGAGTTCCGAGATCCTCTCTTTTCTCCGGGTCCTGTCCTTTAATCTCGTTGCTCATCTACATCGCCGCGTGCTTACACGCGGACCGCCGCAGCGAGAGCGTTTCCCCGAGCTTTTCACCGGCCAGCTCGTAAATTTCGTGCCACTCTTATTTATCTCGGCCGTGATCGACTCCGTGATACATATTTTTTCGTCTCTCTTTTTTTTTTTTT